CGCTCGTTTAAACAGTAAAAATTTTAATGGTCAATGTTTATTTTTAACAAAAAACAAAAAAAAACATTCACTGATGAGTTTGAATATATTTTAGCTGTCTGATCTATACACACTACCTCTTTCACTATGTGAACACTGTACAACAGTGTGAGCTGTAAAAAAAAACAATTCGATACACACGTAAAATTTATTTACATACATATGTTTGTTGGTATATAATAGACAGTGTTATAATTAAAGTTCATTGCATTTTTTTCAACGACAAAATTTGTTTGAAATAAAAAAAAGAGAAAGACTTTCATTTCAAAACAACAACATTTTTGAATATAAAAAACAGATACAAATTAAAAAAACAGTTTTGGTGGTATTGGTAAAACAGTAGTAAAGTCGATAATGCAGTAGACTTGCTAGCGGATTTTGAGTTAAAAACTTGTGTTAAACATTTAATAACAATTAAAATTTTCTAATAATTTTCACTACATTTTGAAATACATATTGAAATCTAATAGAAAATTATAAATTTTATAATTTTTTTAAACTAAATTTTAATAAACATTCCAAACTAAATGGTGCCAGTAGTGCTCTAAAGAAATGAAACCGTAGTGCTCTAAAGAAAACGAGCCAAAAATCTTAAGCTTTATTGAAAAAAAATAAATCTAGAGAATTATAGAAAATTGTTAAGAAGTAGATAGTTAGATAATACTTACATTTAGAACTGTCTGCGTGTATTTCAAATAAGAAAATTATTAGCAAAAAGTTGAAAATGTTAAAATTAAATTTGTATATATTTTCAGAAAAATGTTTCTTTTGTGAAAAATAAATTTTTCAAAACAAAATATTTAAAATGTGGTGGTTTTATATTGATTAATATAATAATTTTTAATACGCAAAAGAGGGGAGGGAGTTGTGTATGTGTTTGAGTATGTGTTTTGAGGAAAGAAAGAGTGTATAAATAATGAATATTTATTTATATGGTATATATCGTTTTTATTACTTATTATTCTTAATATATTTAAACAGTAAAATGACGTAATTTTGAACGGTTTATGACAAAGAGAAAACAACCACAAATATACCATCAAAAATGAAAGAAACATAGAGAACCACACGAATGCTTTTTAGGAATTTTATAGAACATTTTTTTTGTTGTTTTTGAAAAATAAATAAAAATATTTTATAGGAAATATATTTTATTTTAATATAAAGGTTTTGAAAAGATTTTTGAAAAAAAATTCTTATTTTCACATTTTGCCGTTTTTATATTATTTTGTTTAAATTGTTTAAATTTCTAAGCACGTTTCTTTTTCCTTCTTTCTTTCTTATTGCCATTTCCCTCCAATACTTAAACAACAAAATGTTTTTTTTTTTATTTTATTTTAATGTTTTGGCTAAATTTAGTTAGTGACCACTTTACGTGCTGGCATTTCTAGTGTTTTCTAAATTTAGAGTGAAAAAAATATATAAAATAAACTTAAATAAAATAAAACACAAAAATAACATAATATTTCTTCCAACTTATTACTAAGTGCAAATGTTTGGAAACAAAAAAAACCTATTTGAGTTGGTGTATATTTTATAATGGAAAAATCGCAGCAGGAAATCATTGGAGAAAAATCATTAAAAAAAATTTCAAACAATCATGATTTTTTGTTTCTACAAAACACATGTCTAACTTCAATTAAGAAATTTCATTAATTTTTTTTTTATATAATATAAACAAATAGTTGTTTTAAATTTTATTTAAAATTAATTAAATAAATCTATTAAAATTTTGAAGGAATTATTAACTGAAAATATTTGTTAAGTAGTTTTTAAGAAATGTGTATAAATTAACAAAAAAATTAAGTTGTTTAATTAAGGCGTATTTATTTCCGGAATTCCAAAAATGTTTAAAAATCAAACAAATTATCAATATTTTGAACTATAGAATAAACAAATACTAAATATAGAATAAACTGTTGCCAATACTATAGAACGACTATAGTCCAGACTATTGACTAGACTTTAGAACAGACTTGAGTCCAGAATCTTTTATATAGAACAGACTATTGACTAGTCTAGCATATAGCGTTTAGTTCATACTATAGTCCATGCTATAAAGCAGACTATATACCAGACAATACTGCATTCTATAGTCCAGTCAAGAGACCATACAGAAGAGAGTGTACCCTATAGTTTAGTCTATAGTCGAGTCCTTATTTTAGTCTATAGTATAGACAATACTTAAGTCTATAGTCGAGGCTATAGTATAGTCTAAAGTCAAGACTATAGTGTAGTCCTTAGCCATGACAATAGTATAGTCTAAAGTCAAGTATAGTCCATACTATAGTATAGTCTATAGTTAAGACTATAGTATAGTCTATAGTCAAGGCTATAGTATAGAGTATAGTCAAGACTATAGTATAGTCTATAGTCAAGGCTATAGTATAGTCTATAGTCAAGACTATAGTATAGAGTATAGTCAAGACTATAGTATAGTCTATAGTCAAGTCTATAGTATAGTCAATACTACTAATAATATATTCTATAGTCCAGAATATAGTATAGTCCATAGTCCAGACTATAGTATAGTGACTATAGTATAGTCTATAGTAAAGTGACTATAGTATAGTCTATAGTAAAGTGACTATAGTATAGTCTATAGTTCAGACTATAGTTTAGTCTATAGTTCAGAGTATAGTTTAGTCTATAGTTCAGATTATAGTTTAGTCTATAATTCAGACTATAGTTCAGACTATAGTTTAGTCTATAGTCCAGATAACAGTCGAGACTACAGTATAGCCTATAGCTAAGACTATAATGTAGTCAATATACTAGTTTAGTCTAATGTCGAGACTATATTATAGTCTATAGTCAATACTATAGTATAGTCTATAGTCGAGGCTAAATATTAGTCTAAAGTCAAGACTAGAGTTTAGGCTATTGTCGACACTATAGTTTAGTATATAGTCGACACTATAGTTTAGTCTATAATCGAGACTATAGTTTATTCTACACTCACGGCTTTAGTTTAGTTTATAGTCGAGACTATTGCTTATCCCATAGTTTAGTCTCTAGTTTTGTCTATAGTGGAACCATAGTCTATAGTCCACTCTTAAGCGTGGACCTTCCAGTTTTTTTTTAAATTTCTATCTCTTGTTTAATCTTTTATTTTAGTTGAAACCAATTAATTACGTTTGAAAATAAAGTGTGTAATAAAATTGTAACAAAAACAACTAATGCAACAACAACAACAACTACACACAAATTCCTTAAGAATTAATAATTTTTATTGTAGTTGTTGTTTTCATCATCTCTTTAAAACCAAAAAGGGTGTGTTCATACAATAGAAAATGAAAAATAAAAACAAAAAAAAGATATTTTATAAAAAAAAAAATTACACATTTACATACACACCAACACAAACACACACTCGCAGATACCAAAGAGATTTTAATAACAACAAAAACTATAAGTAGTAGAGCTGGTTTAGTGAGTCCATATTACAGCAATTGAGTCACGTATAGCAAAAAAAAAATCGAGTACCAAAGATATTGTCTGTTATAGGAATAGAGTACACATGTACTGGGAATTTATCATCACTAAAACATCTCTAATGAGAGTGTTGCTGTGTGTGTTTGTGCATTTTAAAAGAAAATGTGAATAATTTGAGGGGGTGAGTGTGTGTTTTTTTTTTTTTTAATTTAAGTGGGCCGGCAGGAAAAAAGGGGGAATATTGTCTAGAAACAATAATATGTATGAAAAAAAACTAAAATTCCATTAAATTAAAATTAAAAATGAAGAAAAAAACAACAACAATAAACAATATGCATGCTACTGTTTAGCTAAAGACCCGTATGTTTTATTGAATCTTACTGAATGTGTGTGAAAAAAGAGCTGATGATGCGTCCATATGTTAAACCTCAAATACCGCAGAAAAACATAAGGAATGGAAACCAAATAAATTTTAAAACATCACAACATCAATCCACAGTTTATGTCTGTCTGAAGTTAAGAAAAAGAAAGCAGAAAACTGATAAAGATTGTAAGAAAGAAAAACTTGAAAATTATAATACAAACAACAAAAAATAAAGAGACCAACGCTTAGAAAATGTTCAATAGCCCAAAGAAAAACATAAGGTATTAGAATAATATTAGATTGTATTTAGATTTTTAAACATATTTCTCGATATTTGCTCTGTAATTTATAAAAAATTTACCAAAACGGTTTCCATTATGATTTCCTCTTTCGATTCAAAAACAAAAGTATTTAAACAAAGACGGCATATGGAGTTTTAAAATGGGTTGGGTTCTTGAGGAAATCAAGTAAATACAAATAAATTTCAATCAAATTTTAAAATTATTACTGAAATCATGAAAATTAAACAGAAAATACAAATTCCTTGAAATATTTTTTTACAGCTAAGTTTTGAATTGATGATTAATAGTGTTTGGGGATGATGTTGAAGTCAGTGGTAATAATATGGCTCCGTAATTCTTAGTTTTAGTGGTGATACATACAATATATATATATTGTAATAAAAACAATAAAATAAACTACTACTTCTACGACTTTGTATAAAATAAGTTTTTCAAATGATGACATAATGCCTTCAATAGTAATGGAGGAGGAAGGAGGAAGCAGAGAGTCAATATAAACGGAAGGAAGTAAATCCTTGGAAAAGTATTTTTTTGTTGTTTTGCAAGTGTAGGAAAGTAGTAATAAGGTTATTGTACAATGATGTTATAAATACAAATACAATACATATCTAAAACACCAACTATGTATGACTATTGAAAGAAAAGAAAAGTGTTATTGTAAAAAGGACCGATTGACTGACGGACTCTGATGACTAATGCTACAAAAACAAAGGCGATTTGAAAATCAATAAATTATAATGAAATTCTTATTTGTTTCAATGATGAAATCATACAAATTTTTTTTGAAATACTTTTTCTTCACTTAAATAGTTTTTTTAGCTAAAAAAGTTATTTTAAATTTTAATAAAACAAAATTTTACCTGTGAAGGAGCTGAACATTTTGTCTAAAAGTTTAGTTGTTAAAAAATTTCAAATTTATTTGCAAAATTTCTTTTGTTTAGTTTTGTAATTTTTTTAGTTATTTAATAATAACACGTTTATTTTTGTTTAATAATTAATTTTAAACAATTACAGTTATGTTAATTTTGTTTAAATTTTTTTTAATAAAATTTTTCAAATTTTTCAAATTATTTTTTTTAATTTTAAATCCACGACGCACAACCGTTCACAACGTAAACACGTATAACATTGAAATAAATCTTCAAATTCTACTAAATCCCCAGCAGTAGTGAGTGAAACCAAAAAAAAAAAAACAAATTAACTGCAACAAAATGTTGCTGCTCAAAATTTGTGTTTTTTTTTCTCTTTTTACACACAAACCTGTTCATTTCTTATAAGTCCAACTGATTCATACAAAAGACCCCCTCATTCCATAACCATAGAAAATACATCATTGTTTGCAACCTTTGGGTGGTTTGAAGTCAAACCAACAACTATTTACTTAAAATTACTCTCTTTGACCGTAGCAAAATGCTCAAAACACTTGTTGACAACTTTGAGTATTTGAGCAGTGTTACCAATTTTGTTAATCGAATCAGAATTTTCGAAAATAATATTATTTTTAGTAAAAATATTTGGTATCCTTTATAAAATTAAAAATAAAAAACTTTAAACTCAAATTGGAAATGAAAATCCATTATTTGGTGACAAAGAGGCAACACTGGTATTTAGACAGAAAGAACCCAACAAACATTATATAACAAAATCTTATTTTTGGTAAAAATCAGATTTTTACTAAAAAGTAGAAGAACCAAGGTGGCCACTTGTGTGGGCACTAGGTGAAATTGTGGACCGTTAACTCCAAACTATAGTCCAGACAATAGACTAGACTATAGTTCGTGCTATAGACTAGACAATAGTCCAGACTATAGGCTAGACTATAGTCCAGACTATAGACTTGACTATTGTCCAGGCTATGGACTAGATTTAGACAAGAATATAGTACAGAATATAAGACTAGACTATAGGCCAGACTATTGACTATAGATAGAGTAGACAATAGTCCAGACTATAGGCTAGACCATAGTCCAAACTATTGGCTAGACCATAGTCCTAACTATAGTCCACACTATACTACAGACCAGACTGTAGACTAGGCTATAGTCCAGACTATAGACTAAACTATATTCCAGACTATAGACTAAACTATAGTCCAGACTATAGACTATACTATAGTCCAGACTATGCTCTAGACTATTGTCCAGGCTATGGACTAGACTTAGACAAGAATATAGTACAGAATATAAGACAAGACTATAGGCCAGACTATCGACTATAGTCTAGGCTATAGACTAAACTAAAGTCCAGACTATAGACTAGATAATAGACAGGTAAAATCTATCCAGTTGTCCAGACTATAGACTAGACTATATTCCAGACTATAGTGCAGTCTATAGCCCAGACTAGATTATACTTCAGACTAAAGACTATAGTCCAGACTATAATCCATTCTACAGTCCAGACTATAGTCCAGACTATAGACTTGACTATAGTAGACTATAGACTAGACTATAGTATAGACTAGACTAGACTATAGTGCAGACTATAGACTAGACTTTAGTCCAGACTATAGACTAGACTATAGTCCAAACTATAGACTAGAATATAGTCCAGACTATAAACTAGACTATAGTCCAGACTATAATTCAGGCTATAGACTAGACTATAATCCAGACAATATTTGTTTCTGGTCTCCTTTAGATTTTGACATTTCAAGGTCTTATTTGTTCAGTTTATAAAGTTTCGGCTAAAATTGGGACAAGTAGGACCGGTAAAATCTATCCTGTTGTTGTTAACTGGCCCCCATTAGGGTTTTAATTTGAAATCTATAAGATTTATGTGGTCTGGTCTATTAAATCTTGAGGTTTCTCTTTTAAAGTTTCATGTAGTAAATTAGTATTTAGATTATAATATACATTAGAGGCATTATCCTCATCTACACGACGTTATAAAACTTAAAATGTTTGATTTCATGCAAAAACTAATTATCAAAAACATACCTGATATTTTGACTTGAAAACCTTATAATGTTGATTTCTATATATTTACAAAAACATCATCATTCATAGCAGGTTCTAAATTCCTTAAACAGTCATTTATGTCTCTCATACTTTAAATTAAACAATTCCAGTCTTGAGCCCTAAAAGTAAAGAATAACTTTTTAATATTGTCTAAGATTTACACTTTCAAATTTTAAATTTAATAAAACAAATAAATTTCTTAAAGAATAAACATAAATTATTTGCTGGGTTACTGTTATAAAATAAAAACTAATAAATTCACTCAAAACAGCAACAAATAATTCTCTATTCTCTCTCACTAAAGCAAATAAACGACTCATTTTTGTCAAATAAACTGCTTTATCTACTCTATAATGTTTAGCTAAGCATACTTTAAGGAGGAATTCGTTTAAAAGTTTTCACAGTAGATAAAGCTGTTCATTTAAGTAAATTTAAACGTTATATTCCGGTTTCTTTTAAAAAATTTCCAAAATTATTAAATTGTTAATTAAAGCTTTAATAATTTTAGTTAAATATTTTATTATAATTTTCTTCATAGAAATTAACGTTGTTTTTAGAAAATTTAAAATTTCCCTTTTTTACGTTTTAATTACTTGACACAATAGTCCTTGCGCTGCTGTCTGATAACAGCCTCTAATTTTAAGCATCGTTCTCTTAAAGCGCCATTTTCTTTTTGTAAAATATCAATGGTAGCATCCTTTTTCTCAATAGCTTGTTGGACTCTAAAATTATTGAAATTCATTAAATCTAGCAACTATTTTGCTTAAATATGAAAACACACCTTTTATGAATCTTTTGTATTTCTTGATCACGTTCTTGTTTCAAAGACTGCACTTCATTTTGTATTTCGGAGCGTAAATTTTCTCTTAATTGATCACGTTCCGTTAGAAATTCAGAGCACATCTTTTTACTATGTTCCAGTTCTAATTGCAATTGTTTAATTTCAGCTTGGAAGTTTCTAGCTTGAGCATCAGACTCGGCTAATTTACTTCTTGTCTCAGCATATTTTTCTCTTACAGACTTCTCTACACTTTCCAACTCTTGCAAATCTTTTTCGTATTTTTCACGCAAACGGCTGCAAAATCAAACATTATACAAACTTAATAATAAATATTTCTTAACAAAATATTCACCTTATTTTATTTTCAAATTCTTCATTATTTTTCAAAGCCTCTGCATCCATTCTTTGCACTATAGCATCAATCTGTCGATCTCTCTCGTTGCGATAATGCTGACGTATATTATTTTCCTTTTCCACTTGTTGCACTTTGCATTTATTTTCATATTCAGTTTTCCAAATCTCGAAATCTGCCTCATATTGTTTTTCCATTGTATTGAGACGATTGAGGAATTTTTCTTCTTGTTTGGACATTTTATCCTGTAGTTCGGAAATGGCTTGTTCCATTTCAGCATCTTTTTCTTGCTGCCATTCGGATCGTTTTGTTTGCAACTCCACTTCTTTTTGCTTTAATTCATTCTGTAAACGTTGTTTTTCCAACTGATGCTCCTCCATTAACTTTTGCTTTTGTTCATCAAAGGAATTACGTTCCTCCTCCAGTTGGCGCTCGAATCTAAGGGAAATGATCAATTTTCAATCAATGTTCTAAAACTAAGAAAAAGAGCTCTCACATGTATATAAACATGTCCTCTCACCTTTCTCTTATAGCATTTCTTTCTTTACTTATGATAGACTCTCGATCCTGGGCACAAGACTCTCTTATAGTTTTCTCTATTTGCTCATGTTTCAAACGTTCCTCTTCCAAAGCATCCAACAATTGCTGCTGGTGAGCTCTTTTCAATTCGGTTATTTCTTTTTGATGATTACAATTCATTTTATTAATTTCCGCCTCTAAACCTTTAACCGTTAGTTCCTGTAATTTAGAATAAAAATTCATTTGTTACCAAATATTTATATTTCCTTTACCCACCTTAATTTTCTTAGTATTCTCTCTAACCCATCTTTCCCGTCGTATTTTCTCTCCCGCCATTGTGTTCTCTTTGACACGGGTTATCTCTGTCTCCAGTTTATGTTCCCAAGCTTGATTTTGACTTTCTAAACGCCTGGTAAGAGCTGCCACTTTTTCACACAAAGAACCTTTATCCTTCAACAATTGCTCTATGAAACCCTGATGCCTTTTGACTATGGCTTCATAGTGCTTCTTTTGTTCTTTCATACGATTGGCGGCATTTGATTTTTCCGAGCGAATGCTCTTTTGTTTCTCAGTGCGTACTTTTATGACATGTTCCTTGGACAATTGCACCGCATTGGCTAGTTCATTGGCTCTTAAACTGAGAGATATAACACGTCGTGCTAATTGGTGATTAGGCAGCATTAATAAATCAGAAAGTCTATTAAGAAAAAAAACAGAAGTTAAATAATGGAAAAAATCTAGTTCTTGTTCAGTTCTAGTTCAATTCAAGTTCAGTTCTAGTTCAGTTCTAGTTCAGTTCTAGTTCAGTTCTAGTTCAGTTCTAGTTCAGTTCTAGTTCAGTTCTAGTTCAGTTCTAGTTCAGTTCTAGTTCAGTTCTAGTTCAGTTCTAGTTTAGTTTCTAATTCAGTAATTTAAGTAAGAAAACCTACTTGGGCACATCCTCTGCTATATCGGGCTCTACCACAAATTCCACTTCGCTACGATTGGTATCTGGCATAGAACGTCGGGTTTCCATTAAAGTTTTCTCGCAACTGTCCTCCACATTATCCAGATAACTTAAAATATCTTTATATTTATCAGGAGACTCTTTAGTTTTTGCAGTTTCCGGAGGACTATGAGGTGTTCCTATACTAGGAGTGGTGCTTAATTTTAAGTTCATTTCGGAATTAACACGTTCAGCTAAGTTATCTAGAATATTAAAATGGTTTAAAAATTTGAATGAAAAACTATTGTAAACTTACCCTTCTTTTTATCTTCCTCTATTTCCTTAATAACCGATACAATTTCATCATAAGTAGAATCATCTTGCGATTGATCCATAGATTTTTCTGAATTTTTTCCATCTTCTTCATCCTCCTCCTCTTCTTCCTCTTCCTCGGGATCTAAAGCCGACATGGCTTCTAGAGTTTCTTGGGTAAATTTCTCAAAAGATTCATCCAGGGAAGTGTGTTGATTTAAAGCTGTCCTAGTGCTTATAGCTTGTGAAGTTTGCTCATGCATAGACATCCAAGTATCGATTTTATCTATATTGAATTCGTGCAAATTGGAATCCTCTCTTAAATTTCCAAAACTTTTGGCTTTTTTGATATTATTTTGTGTTAGAGTAGCTATGGAAGTAGTTTTGGGTTTTGGTTTGGACAGTGAATTATTTGCTGCAGCTATAGTTTTCTTAGTTTCCGTTTTAGTATTATTAATATTTTCCTTTTTCCTTATAATGGTCGCCGAGGAACCGGCTACTTTTAAATAATTATTAATAACCGTTTCACTGGAGCTTTTCTTTGTGGGACTTTCTAATTTATTGTCCATTTTAAGAAAATCTTTTTTGGCTATTTCAGTTTTATAATTTGAATTGAGAGTTTTGGGTTCTGTTAAATTATTTGGTTTTTCCAAAGCTTCAGCAGTTGTTGTAGGATTTGAATATTTGTTTAGATAGGAAGGTAATTCAAAATTGTTTAAATTTGTATTCGTGGTAGCTTTTGTTTGATTTTCTTCCAATAGATTTTTTACCACCGAATTTTCCAATTGTTCTCCCACGGCATTTTTATAGTCTCTAATAACTTGCGATTCCTCGGCTTCTACTAGGTCCAAAGAAATTTTACTGTTTTTAGGGCTTGGAGTGTTTGAGCTTATGGTTTCCTTTGTAGTTGCCATTTCTTGGCCTAGTTCGTTTAGTTTATTATAAGGTTCCATTAAGTATTTGCAAGTGGGCGAAGCACAATAACATTTAGGGCTGGGAGACTCTTGTAAAGAACCCGAAGAAGAAGATCTGGTACTGCAAGAACAATTTTCCGAAGGACACTTGGGATATTCAAAAGTTTCTGCTAAAACTTCTTCACCATTGGCGGAAGAACCAAAATGTACCGATTTCTTTAAACTTAAAGAAGATAATTCCTTGTTTAAATGTTGAGTGGGCGCGGCGGATTCTAAGGTTTTTGATTTAAAAGAATAATCTATGGGATTTATGGGTCCTGGAGCTGATATATCTTCCTGCTGTTTTGTTGACGATTGTGGTAACACATAAGTATTTAGATTCTCATAATCACTAGAATCATTATCATCACTTGGTAGCTGCAGTGTAGAGGAGGGTTTTGAAAACGATACTCTACCTGGAAGATCAGGTTTGGCTGCTGTTTTATGATAACTATAGTAATCCTCTCTATTTTGTTTATCTTTGTTAACAACTAACATAGAGTATGAGGAGTTGGATGATATTTTTCTGGTGGGATTTCTTACCGTACTCATATATCTTTCGTTATACTGTGGTTTATTCAAAGAACTATAGCTACCACTTTTGCGTGAAGAACTCAAATCCGAGGCATCTCCCTCACTATTGTTGCCAGAATCCTTACACAACCATGATCTCTTTATGGGTTCATCTAATAATAATTTCAATAGATTTGAGGAAGAAACCGATTGAAACTTTTTCTGTTGTCTTTTACTCAAATTCAAATTGGTAATCTCCGAATCTTGTGTTGTATACGAACCACAAGGACTGGCAAAATTTCGACCAAATTTAGGATCTGCCGATTGTGGTCTTAAATACAATGAAGTGTAAGAACGTCTTTCAAAAAAACTCGCCGATCGGGGACGAGAATGACAGCGTGTAGAGGGTTTTAAAAGATTTATTTGCGATGAGTATTTGGGTTTAGGTTTTTGTCGTGTAACCAAATTTATCTAGGAAACAGACAGTAATATATAAATTTAAAATTTCAACTTTTATATGCGTCTAACCTGCCACTCACCTGTGAACCTTTCAAACTTAAATCCATACTAATTTACTATTTGGATTAATATTTGTCATTTGTTTTCCTTGACCATTTTATTATACTCTTTCTCTATTATAAATAATTTATTTGAGTTGTTTTTTTAATATTTAAGCAAGTTTTACTTGTCCTACTTTAAATGTATAAAAATAAAACAGTTTGCCAGTCTATTGCTTTAGACGTCCTTTCTCTAGGACTTGCGTTGATGGTTTGTTTTGGCCATATGCCTTGCTACCCTGTGTGACGTCGTCATCATTGTATTTTTTATAATAACAAAATTATCGATTTAACGGTTCTTATGCATATTTTGTGGTACTCTTTTTGAAATGGTCAAGCAAGGTGCATTTTTGTTTTTATTTTACATTTTTCAAATTTTGGCAGTTACAACCCTGTTGTGTTTTCAATGACGTTTTTTAGGCTGCATTTTTTATTCACCCTAGTGTTTGTGTTTGGAAAGGGTTGGTGGTAGAAGCGGTTCATTGTTTTTATTGCTGCAGTTGCTATGTTTTTGTTGACGATTGTGTGGTTTTTAAAGACAGGTGTTTTGAATAAGAAACCAGAGAGCAATCATTAACTCATTTTTTTCTCTTAGAACTCAATTCTAATAGTTCACTTAGAATTCAAATTTTCACTAGAAATTCGATTTTCTTCCATGAATTTCATTTTTTACAATAATTTTATAATTTTTCACCAAAAAATCAATTCTTCACTTCAAATTAAATTTCGCACTTAAAATCCGATAAAAATTCAAATTTTCACAAAAAATTCAAATTTTCACTAAAAATCCAATTTTCAATAATATTCAAATTTTTACATTAAATTCAAAATTTCACATAAAATTCAAAATTTTAAATGTCAATAAAATCCAAATTTTTAAAAAAAAAAAAAACCTCAAAAAAATTTTTAATTGAAATTCACTTTTTCACTAAAAATTTAATTTTTCACTAAAAGTTCAAATTTTTACTATAAATTTAGACTTTCAATAAATAATCCTTTAATTTTTAACAAAATTTTAATAAATTTTTCGACGTTTCCTAAAATCCCTGTTTTTTGCTAAAAAAAAAATATTCTTTTTGATATTTTCCACTTTTTAATTTTTTTAGTATTAAATCGTCATTATTTTCAAAAATAAATTCAGTTTGTTATTTCGATTTTCTTCTAATTCATTAAATTCTTAATTGAAATGTTAATTTTAAAAATGTTTCGATCAAATTAAAAAAAATTTGGAATACATTATGAAACTTTTGTTCTTTTAAATCAATTATGTATAAATTTAAAAATATTTATAAACAATAAAAAAAAAATAAAAATTTAAAAAAATAATTTTGAAATAAAATATTTTGATAAGATAGGTTAGGTTAAGTCAATTAAAAAAAATAATAATTTTGAAAAAAAAATATTTTGGTAAAAAAATAATAATTAATTAAGAAATATGTAATATAAAAAATGTAAATTTTAAAAACAAATATTAACAAGAAAATAGTAATAAAATAAAGAAATAAAAACTGTTCACCTGTGACTTATGTGTGTCCGGTCCAATCCAATAATCTTGTAAATAAAAAAACTCCTCAAAAACAATTTTAGTACCAGCTAAAACTATTACCGCTGCATTTTCTTAACTTGTTAAGTAATCATTCCAATGTTCTTTAGCCAAACGATGTACTTTCTTCAAGTGTCTGGTGGCGGAACTACGTCCGGTATATTTCATACAACACAGCTTACAGATGTAAGGATACAAGTTCATGTGTAGATTCAAATGATTTTTAATCGAATAAAATCTATGGTAGATATTATCACATAAATGACAATAGAAAAACCATTTTTTCTTGCCGCCAAAATCATCACTTTGTGGTTTTTTATGCCACAATTCATTTTCATAAGTTTGATAGACACGTGTCAGCCACATGGCATCCATATCGGTGAATTCTACCACAACTTTGAGCTTATCCAACGATTCGTCTACATGATCAAATAAAATTTTGATATTTGTACCAATGCCAATGTTAGAGGAGGAGGTGTTATTCGAAAATTCTTGACTAGTAGATCGTAGGGAAGTAGCGTTGGTAGAAGTGGTGGCAGACAAGTGATGTTTGTTATTAACTACGCATTGACTTCTAGTGGGATGCTGTGTGTTGAAAATTACCTTTAAACGTATTTATTTAATAAATATCTAATCATTTTACCCTTTTTCCTATAGTTTTATTGTTTGCGGCTGCTGCTGTGGCATTAGTTTTTAATTTCAAATACTGAGATCTTAATATCTATAAATTAAGTTAATTAATTTCTGTAGAACTTAATTAATTATAAAAATTCCAATAATATTATTAACTTACCCTCATTTTTATGTTTTTATTGTTAAAAATTTACTTTATTTTACACTAATTTTTCTAAACTTCTTTCACTAACTAAATTTTTTACTCTTTTCTCAACTTTTTTCAACCTTTTTAAGTAGATGTGTACAAAAGCTGTACTGATCACTTTTGTAGAATGTTGTTGTACAAATTTCGGTGTCATAGAAGTGTCAAATATCTAATAAAGTAATTTGAAAGCAACAAATCCTTTTCCGTGTGCCATCATCTTATTAAATAATCTTGTTTTGTTTACCATTAAGTTGGCGGTATAACGGTTTTTCTTATTTTAATAATAATGTTGCCAATTTTTTTGTTTTAGAAAAGCACTGAAATAATGAAAAGTGTGTAATTTTTCTACTTTGAACATATTCAAGAGATATTAATTACAACTCTATAGTAAATTTTGAACAATACACAATTAAGAATGTATAGTCGAGCATGGTCGAACATATGATACCCTACACCAGTGAGTTTTACGTGAAAAATGTTGATTATTTGTGGTATTAAATATTTTAAGTTGTTTTTGTCTTAATTCCGAAATATATTAATAATTTGTTGGTAAAAAAATTACTTTTTGTGGCAAGGGTAAATATGGACCTATACTTGTAAATGTTGGTAGAGGGATTTAGTTTACATTGAAGTTATTTATCATGATACTGGTGTTTATAAGTCATTTTCTGAGCCAATATTTTTGAGTGAACAAACATTAGCACTAACGCATAATATCCATAATAGTGGTGTAGGATATAGAAATAAAAGAGGCAAATTTTGAATAATACTTCTGAATATTGTATAGGATTCCACAAATCAGCTATTCTAGAAGAAAATTTAAAGAGTTTCACTAGAAATTCAATTTTTAGCAAAATAGTTTAAACAATTAGTCTGGCAACATTACGCTGACAAGGTATCTCAGAAATTTGTGGAAGCTTTTTCTATTTAAAAAAATTGGCAATATTGGAAATAATGTAAACAACCGTTATGCCGCCGAACAAAAAGTGAAAAAAGTAAAAAAACTCTACATTTCAAAGAAATTAATTAAATAGTGTAAAATAAAGACAAATTATTAAAAAATATTTAAAAAATGAAGGTAAATTAATGTAAAAATGAAAATATAACACTTTACTAAACGACAATTGCTTTAATATTAAGATTTTGCGATCACAATACATGAAATTAAGAAATAATGCAGGAGGCCCCAGAAGTGACCAAAACAATGGCTTAGGAAAAAAGGTGGGGTCATTTGGCTAAAAATTATATAAAAGCTACAAGTTTTTTATATTTCACATAGATTCCCCGCAAAGATCAAACACTTAATAATGGCAACAAGCAGTTGTCGAACATTGGAACTAGAAATGCTCAACCAATCGGAGGTCTACGACGAGCTAGTGTAAACCTTGTAAACTCTTTCTCTGATCCTCCTGCTACAAATATTAAAATATTATTTGATAATATAGATGAATCGTTGAAAAAACTTAATGTCGTGGTAGAATTCACTAATATGGATGCCATGTGGTTAACGCGACTCTATCGAACCTATGAAAATGAATTGTGGCATAGAAAACCACGCTTAGATGTTTTTGGCAAAAAGAAATGGTTTTTTCAATGTCATTTGTGTGATCGGGTTTTAATGGCATTTACCGGCCTAAAAACTCATCTAAATCGACATTTAAACTATTATCCTTATGTCTGCAAATTGTGCCTGAAAAAATACACTAATCGTAAAGCAGTTACCAACCACTTGAAGAGACAACATAATATAAGTAAGGAAGATTGGAATGACAATTTGACGAGTTAAATATGGATATTGGATATGAATAGTTTTAGCTGGAACTGAAATTATTTTCTGGAGTCCCAAAGCCTACACAGGTGAAGTGTTTTTTATGTTTTTTATTTAATCGAAATTGTTTATTTTATTGGAAGCCACTACACCATTTGAACATTTCAAGTTAAAGTTGTAAAAAAGTTTTATGGAAGATTGTTTAGTTTTTGAATATTACCAATTGTAAAGTCAACTTTAGTTTAGAACTTATTTTGGAATTAATTCTATTTGAACTAGAAAGAACTTATTTTCAATCATATATCAATCAATTTTGAGATTTTTTTATTTTTTAAAAAGAAATAGTTACTAAAATCCACGTTTTTTAAGAAATAATTTTTTTATTTTATAGAAAGTTTTTGAAATAAAAACTTTTTGAAATATTTTTCTTCTAAATTTTATTAAAATTTTTCGAAATTTTATTAAAACTAAAAAAACGCATTTTCAAATGAAACATTTTCATGTTAAGATTTTTTTTTCAAAATTTTGTTTAAAAATGGTGTAGTTTGGTTTATGCTTTTAAAAATTGTGCTTTAATATAATTTTTTATATATATACATACAAATAAAAAAAGTGTATTCTAAAAGTTATGGTTCTATTCTGATTACTTCTGCATACATTACAAAGTTCACTTTTTATTTGTACTAATCAATCAATTAGAAATTTCTGTTTCAAAACCACACCCATACATTAACAGTGCATCTTAAAGTTATAAACTGCATGGCATTGATAGGTTTTTTCATAAGTAAATAATACTTTATATAAATTTACAGTTATATTGCAGAAGAGATAATCAATCACAAAATTTATAGTCAATACTTAACCTCGAAATATAATTCACAAATATAATGAAAAAAAACCTTAAAAATTAAACAAGCAACCTGCAGCATAGTTAAAAACAAAATATACAAAAACAACTCAAGATTAGCAACTTAAATAAGAAAATAAAATAACTTTTTGATAACGAAAACATAACCAAACAGCCAAACCGTCAGGCCAAACGTCACTGTCAATGTCAGAGTCATGTTAATTGAATATTTTGTTGGTAAACAAGTGTTTGTTTTACTTTTTTTGTAGAAAGGGAATTTGATAAAAAAAATAATGGTTTACAAGGTGTTATTTTCTACTTGACTCGAGTAGGGGAAAAAAACAAATTGTAAAAATTCAAAATATAATAAATCCTTAAAAATTTGTCTACTAATTAAAGTTTATGTTCATTAATTAATTGATGGAACATGTCTTAATAATTTCTTTTAGATAACTAACAAGAAAATGTATGACATTTTGTTGAAATTGATGAAATGTTTTTTTCTTTTTTCCTTTTTTTATAAATTGTTTTGTAATCACTCATAAAATCACGAGACAATAATTATTAAAAAAATACTCTCTATAAAACTAATGAGAACTGTTTAGGAAGGTGTAGAAAAATAAAATCCTATTGGAATTAGAGTACCATGTGTCATTTCGTATTTGTTAACAATTTAGGGAGCGGTTTTTCCAGGTTTCTTGTCTAATCGAAGTTGGTAGCTGAAAGATTGAATTTTTATGCGAATTTAAACCTTAATTTTTTAATGATTTTATAAAAATTTTGCTAAATTTTAAGGTTTGAAATAAAGAAAATGTATGAAGTTTATAATATCCTTTGTCTAGACTTTAGTCTAGACTATAGTCTAGCCTATAGTCCAGATTATGGACTAGGATACAGACTAGACTATAGTCTAGACTCCTCTTGAAGTATAGACTAGACTGTAGGCTACAGTATAACCTAGACAGTCTAGACTGTAGTCCAGACTATAGACTAGACTGTAGTCCAGACTATAGACTAGACTATAGTCCAGACTATAGACTAGACTACAGTCCAGACTATAGACTATACTGTAGTCCAGACTATAGACTAGACTGTAGTCCAGACTATAGACTAGACTGTATTCCCGACTATAGACTAGACTACAGTCCAGACTATAGACTAAGCTAGACTATAGTCCAGACTATAGGCTATATACTAGGCAATAGTCCAGACTATAGTCTAGACTAGACTATAAACTACACTATAACCTAGACTATAGTGTAGACTATAGACTATACTATAGTCCAGACTTGGGACTAGGATACAGACTAGACTATAGACTAGACCATAGTCCTGAGTCTGGACTCCAGACTATAGACTAGACTATAGTCCAGACTATTGACTAGGCTATATACAAGACTATAGTATAAATTATACAGACTATGAACCAGGCTACAGACTAGACTATAGTCCACAATATAGACTAGACTATGGTCCAGACTTTGGACTAGACTATAGTCCAGACTTTATACTACTGCAGATTATAGACTAAATTTAGACCTAAACTTGCTCAAGAAACAGTCACATATTTTAGAATATATTTGGGATACTAAGTTCAGAACATCGACAATATGCATATCAAATGAAAGATTTTACAAAGACTTTTCCAATTCATTACCATAACATTTCTAAATCATGTTTCATTGTAATTAACATTTCTTAAATAAACAACACTTAGTATTTTTTTTTTTTTTGTCTTTTTTTATTTATTTAAATTATAATTTAATTTTAATAATTTGGCAACAGTTAAAACTTAAAAACTAAACAAAAAATATATATAGTTGTATATTATATATAATAAAACAAAAGACTATAAAGGGTCATTTTTAAAATAATGTTAAAAGTTTTTTTTTTAATATTTCTTTTACTTCGTGACCCCTGACAATAAAAGTACTGATCATCATCATTATCAATACTTAAATTAAACTCTATACAATAATGCCACACATTCTATAACTTATATAATAATAAATAGCATATTTTTTTAATTAAACATTTTTATCTCCCATCTAAGCTGTTTCAGTTATTAAGACCGGTTTTACTTCAATATCCTTATCATCGCCTTTAATTTCAAATTTCAATTTGGTCAATTCTTTCAATTCATTGTCGACTTCTGAGGCCTCGGTTTCTTTTACAACTTTCACGGTATCGGGATATTTGTTGACATCATTGCCTAATTCTTGGGAGAACGATACTACAGTTTTGGGTTCAAAATTAACACCTTTTTCTCCCTTAGGATCGGGTGAAGGTAGACTGGGTCCATTTAGGCCATTGGTGTGAGAAATGGTAATTTCATTTTCTAAAGCTTGACCATTTGTGGCATGACCATTTTGTAGAGTTTGATCTTTTGGTTCTTCAGCATGGCCATTGGTTTGGGGTTCTACGTTAGCTTGTTCCTCAATTACAGGGGCTGAGGTGGCAACAGCTTCTACATGACCATTTACTTGTTCTTGGGCAGTTTCTAAAACTGAAGTTACTACTGCTGCTGCTACTTCATGGGTTTCTGCTTCTTCTTTAGCTAAAGGTTCTTTCTCTACAGCTACGGAGGTTTCAACAGCTACAACAGGAGCTTGTTCGGCTTGTGGTTCTACTTCCTCTTGTTGTGTTTTAGTTTCTTCTTCCTTTTGTTGTGTTTCTACAGCTACAGTTTCATCTACATTTTCAATTTGTTCTTCCTCATCTTTAGCATCATCTTCTCCCGCTACGGCCTTATTAACTTCCTCAATAGCCTTGGCAACTTCTTCTTCCTCAACTTGGCCATTTAAAGTAACCGGCTCAGTATGTTCAACAGTCTCTTCACTCTTTTCATGCTGGTTTTCTTTTTCTTGCTGTTGTGTTTCTTCTTGTTCCTGTTGTTCTTGTAAGCTTTCTTCCTTAATGTCTTCATGTTGAGTGGGTGATGATGCTGGCGGTGGCATTTCTAAACCTGGCTTAACAGCAGGACTAGCCATGGTCTCCACAAAAGATTGGCGATTGGGACTTGAAGGTGAAATCATAACTTGAGTGAAATAACCACTGCGTCTATTTTCAAAATCTAAAATATTTTGATTGGCCAAACGTTCTTGTATGCGTCTTTGTCTTAAAATGAATTCTGGAACATTGCTATCCTCCTCATTTTCTCTTACTTCGGCAGGCACTACCTTAGCCCTTCTTAATACCACTTTAGCGGCTTCATTATCATTACCATTGCTGGTCGAACTATTGCCATTTTGGGGCAAAGTCTGTTTGGTGGCAGCACTAATATTCGAAGGCTTGAACACTCCATTAAAGGTGGTGCTTTTAACCACAAACTCATTATTGTTATTTTGGTTGGCCTTTAACACAGCTGGCTCAGCTGGTGGGGGTGACATAGGATTGGCATTGCCATTTAGAGCCTTGGGTGATCTTTGTATGGTAAAGTTGGGTTTACCATGATTGATCAAAAGTTTAGTGGCTGGTGAGGGTGTCTTGTCGCCATTGAGGGATAAACCGGAACGTAATTGTAATTTAGGTTTGTTAACATCAGCCATATTGTTGTTGTAGTAGTTACGTTGTTGTTGATATAGGGGCAACACTGTTAAATAGAATGTAAAGAGAGAGAGAAAAAAACAAGTTTTAATTAAAATTTCATGTTAATTAAAAGAAATACATAAATAACAATAATAATTTCTTTAATTTATATCTTTAACATTCAATTTGCAAAAAATTGTAAAATATTTTTTTACATATCAAATGTTTTTAAGAATAATTGTATAAACAAATTATGTTTTTTATTTATTAATAAAGTACGATGATATCATTTAAAAGGAATTTCAAATAATAAAGATTTTAAAGAACTTGAAAGAAATTTAAAGTACAGCTAAAGTTAATAAAACCATTAATTTTTGAATTGTTTATCAAACAAATTTTAATTAAAAAACCAAAAATTTTTTAAATTTTGCTAAACCAGTTTTGTAAAACTTTTTCATTTCCTAGCAATATTTAAAAAGTTTTATAGATTTGTATAGAATTTCTCGTTTAATAGATTTTTTTAGATCCAGTTCACCTTAGACAATTAGTTTAACTTTCCCACAGTTAAATATTTAACTAACAAAATATACCTTCAAATTGTTATAAAAACTATGAATTTTTATTGCGCATTTAACCTTCAAATCAAAATAAATTAAATTAATTGTAATTTGTAAAAAAAAAAAAACAACAAACAAAAATCTTGGCAAATAAAACGCATACGAGTAGTTGATTTACAAAAAATGATAATAGAAAACATGTCGCTTGAATGGACTGTGTTTGGCTACATATTGGTATAAACTATAAAGTACCTTGACAAATTCATAAATAACAAAAAAAAAAAAAAAAACTTGGACGACATGTAACAATTGTCCGTCCATTGTACAGCCTAAGAGAATTTAATTTTAAGCCAAAAAAAAAAAAAAACACAAATTTCTTTTATCATAATCTTCCCCTAATTGTTTTTAAAACCTTTTTAAA